AACGGGGCCTGCGCTGGAACCCCTTTCGCGTCCCCGCGTCTAGTTATACCTAATGTGTTATCATTTACCGTTGTATGGAGATGTGTCAACGTTAATATGTTGTGGTATCTAGATGCTTTGTCCTCACAAAATTTTTACGACGTGGAGATGTAGTGGTAGGTATAACATGTACCTAGATACTTGCACATTGAGATGTAGAAGTAATAATAACATGTGTCTGAATGCTAGCGCATTTGATTTTTATCTTTGTCGGGTATGAAAATTTCAGGTATGCTGTATGCTTAGTTTTAGTGTCAGTCCACCATGTATAAAGTTGCGGATCGAGAGTGTTTGCCACCGCTGGCAATTCTTTTTCGTGAATGCAAAATTGGCAACAAAACGTTTTTACGGGACCACAACAGATTTGATGAGGATTTATACTGTTACGAACATCAGAGCAGGAAATCAGATTGTGTATATACGACACGGATTTGGGAGTGTCTTATGTTGGATAGCGACGAGAAGGATGATGTGTGGATGGCGGACCTAGGTCAGAGGGTGAAGGCCGAGGAGCGTCGACAATTCCTGGTAAGTACAAAAGCAATTACTCTCAGATAACATCGATGTTTTTTATCTAGGATAAAGATGAAATTTTTTTCTTTCAGAGCTACCTTCTGAGTAGCGACGATGACGATGATGACGACGACGATGACGATGACAGCGGCGCGAAGACGCCTTCGCGGGTGAACCCGCAGATGGAAGCGTCATGGGACGCGAGGACGAGCCCTCCTGTGAGCTCGCAGGAGAGCTTGCAGGATAGCCCGCAGACGAGGGCGAGGATGCCTCCGCGAAGCCCGCAGGCTCCAGACAGCTCTCACGAGGAGGCGTGTCATCCTAGACATAGCCACCGGAAGTAGGACCGTTTGCTTGTACCATTAACGTGAGTATTTTTTTACTAGCTATCCTTCTTTCTTTTTCTTTTTACACATTTTAAATATTTGGCTCCTTTTGTCTGTTGCAGATGGCGACGGACAAGTGGATTTGCGCCGTATTAATTAAATAAATTTAAATCATGTCTTATATTATAACTTTTTAAATAAACATTTTTTAATTTTAATTATAATATTTTCTTTACTCTTCCTTATTCCTCTTCGCAAGCGATAACGGGTGGGACCCGTGCGCAACGGCGGCGGCGGCGGCGGCGGCGGCGGCGGCGGCGGCGAACGCGGCGGCGGCGGCGGCGGCGAACGCGAGCGCGGTTCCCCTCTCCCCGCGATA